AACTGTTTCTTTTTGGATGTGAAATTCAATTGCAGTAAGCCACCTAGTTACTTACTGCCCAGCAGAACAAGGATGCTTTACTCAGATAGGAAGATGTCAGCAAATTCCTGCTGATTTGAGGGAAAGTGGTGTGCTGTGATATGGGAGAAATGCAGAAAAGTTTTCTTAAAAAGATTTTGCGGAAGGGAGTGATGGCTTTAGAGCATGTCATGCATGTTCAAATTTGCATTTACCATGGTAAGGGTTAGGTCCTGCTAAAAGCTAGCTGCTGGGGAACTGAATTGAGAAGGCATTTGTAACCCTATATTCAAAGCCGAAATAATGATACTGGTCTGGGTTTTGTGTATGTTTTGTTTGTTGGTTTGTTGTTTGTTTTTTTTTCCAGCCAAGGAAGTGTGGAAAAATACATTAGTGTTATTGATTTGGCTCTCTAGAAAGTCATCAAGGAAAAAGGTTTGAGTTTCTATCAGAAACAATGCTTTGTTCTACCTTGTCAGCCTTTTCTCTTTCAAGCTATCTGAGCAGCAGTCTGATTCAGTGGTAAGAATCAAGGTCATATTTTATTCAGTACAAGAAGATGGAAATTCTGGCAAGAGCCAAGATACTTGTTTTGAAATGGTTTTATTTAGCCCTTTCTGCTACAGCTGCTGTCAGTGGAAAGAGATAAAGCTGATGACAGACTACAAGGAATTTATTGTTCATTATTCATGACTTGATAAAGGTTTAAGTCTGAAAAGATTTTTGTTTATTTTTTTCATGGGTCTTTCAGGTTTTCAGATATGAATACCTGGCAAAAAATTGGATGAAGCAGTTAAAGAAAAGATGCGTGTTTTTCTTGACTTATTAACCTTAACAGAAAACTTGAACAGAATTTAATCCACGGAGATTACATGGGGAAAAAAACACTAATTAAAACTGCTGTGCAGCAAGATTATGCTTATGCTTAAATCAGTTGTTACTTGAATAAGCTTTAGACTTCTGTGGCGTGGTGGCATCTGACCTTACTGGCTCCCACAGGCCTAACTAGCTCTATTGTGAAGCCTTTACTTGAAAAATAAAAATCTAAGTCACAAAGCTAGAGCAGTTCTAGACCATGCAGGTAGTCAGGAATTGCTCTAAATTTGTAACTTGGACTTTTGTTTTCCAACTAAAGGCTTCACAATAGAGCTAGTTGGGATGTGGAATGACTGTTTACCTTTAATGCAGCAAAACAAATTATCAAAGAGAAACAATTATCAGTAGTGCCGTTTGTTCTTACAGTGAATTTGGGGTTTCTTGATGTGAATTATAAAATGGTTTGTGTTGGAAGGGACCTTAAAGATGATCTAGTTCCAACCTTCCTGCCATGGCAGAGATGCCTTTACTAGACCAGGTTGCTCAAAGCCCCATCCAGCCTCGCCTTGAATGCTTGAAAAAAGAGAATAGAATTTTAATAAACATTGCAAGAACTTGTGTTCCTTAAGAGCGCCTTGATACTAAGTGTGGTCAATCAAAATGTCTGCCATACTCTAATACTTTCAAATCTTTGTGGTGGTCTCAGCATTTTTATCTATATTCTACTAACTTGTGGCTTGGCTGTCTTTCCTCTTCCTCCTCCTGCTTAGGAAGGTTAATGTGTCCTTTCATTTAGGACTGCTACAGGTGCATAGCAGGAATATGAAGGTGATAAGAGGGATGGTGTTACAGGAATGCATAACATGACCATTCTGATTTGAACAGGTGTTGTGGGGAAGGACAGAAATAAGCAAAGTCTGACTTTGCTATTACCTTGCCTTTAAGGTAAATGGAAGAAACTGCAGTTCTTATTCAAGGTATCAGTCTTCTTAAGTGCAACTGATGCAGTTCTAGTTCTAGAGCACCAATGCTAAAAATTTTAGTGAGGCCTTTAAAGGAAGATGTGAGACAACAATAGTTTTCATTACTTCGAGCCTGAGCATGACAAAATTCAAGTTTCCCATGGTAGGTTTACCTCCCTTTTTCCTCATAAGGGGGTTTACAAACAAAACCAAACCAGACCCCCCAACCTGTTTGCAGGTGACATGCTAGGGAGAAAATACTGACCTTTTAAAGGAATAATTGTGGCTTTGCCGCCTTGAAAGCGGCTCTAGTAAGTTGGCCCTTGGTGTGCATATAATTCTCTTCTAAATTTTGCCTGATGAGCTTTCATTAGTTACAGCTGTTGGGGGGGGGGGGGGGTTGGTGGCTTTTCTTTTTTTTTGTGGGTTTGTTTTTGTGTTTGTTGTTTGTTTTTTGCGTTTGGTTTGGGTTTCTTTTTATGGATGCAAAGGAAAGATGTTCAGTATGTGTATGTTCAAGTATAAACTTGTCAAGATCTCTGACAGCTATTTAGTACTGATTTCCATAGGAGATTGAGGGGACTTCTAAACTGCAATTTCTCTGTTTGTCTGAGAGAGGGGAGATGAGGAGTAGTTGAGAAGCTAAAACAAGGAAAAACTTTGATTGAAGAGTATAAAAGGCAAGGAAGAAGGTGTTTTTTTTATGCAAACATCAGAAGCTAGAGGAGGGAGAGGAAAAGCGTTGTGAACCCCTGTAACATCCCCATGCAGAGACTGAAGTTGTGATTCTTGAATCTTAATGTTGTTTAGCAGTGCCAGAGCATTTCTTGGCTTTTTACTATCTCAGTTACTGTTGGTTACCTGTAAGAAGCCTTTTACTGTTTCATCTTAAAGTTGTTACTAAATTTAAGAGAACAGAATTTACGGATCAAAATAGTGCTGCTTAGTGTACAGTCTCTAATTCGGTTGTGTTTTGATAGGTAAATTACAGGGAGGCCGTTGCCATACACTCTTAAAAGTTTAACTATCACTGCAGTGTTTTGTAAAATATTTCTTAAAAAAAAATACATCAAACCAGGTTGTAGTTGCAGTAAGATCCTTATTTCGTTAGATTCTGGTTTATAAGCTAAACTTCAGTATCTTCATTATGGGAATTAGGAAATGGTTTCACAGCAAAGCCTAAATTAATGGGCCAACTGTATTTTAGTATCTCTTGCATGTTGTAAGGTGACCAAGGGGTCCGGCCTAATCATCAGATCCCAGATCCCATCATCTGGGAATTACAAGATGTGTGCTCTCTTCAGGTCAGGTCCTGTGGCCTGTTAGTCTTGTATTTTCTCCTTACAGAATTAATATTTGAATTTTATATATCCAGAAAATTCTTCAGTGCAGAAATTTCCTCCTCTGCTGTGGTACTTTGTAAAATCCACTGACCTGCATGAAGCACTTTCCCTTTTCAAAGAAAGGGAATGAGTTTAATTATTTACAGTTTGTTTTGTAATATGTTGTATTATTTGTGTTATTTTGTCATTTAAGTATGTTGGAGTTAGTTTCCCACGTAGCAGACTGCTGTATTGATCTTACATTCTTCATGTTAAAAACTTACAGCAATCTCTGCTGTAGGAGAGAGAACACGTTTAAAAATATATGGAGTTTTCACATGTTGAATTACTCAGAAGTTGAACTATAGCCTCAGTGATTTTTTTTTTTTTTGTAGTTCATAGATTATCTAAAAGTTAAATTAGTAATCAGAATGTGTTGAAGGCAGTTCTTTAGCTGTCTGTAGTATTACGTTAGTACCAGAACAACACTGTGATACAAACTACTTACATTTTTGATGATTAAGAATGAAGCAGCAAGCATCGTCTCCTCTAGGCACGTGTTTTCTGAAAGTAACACGTTTTCACATGGTTTATTTTTAAGCATGTAAAAGTAGCAAAAAATATCATCTTCTTGTCATTACAGAAGCTGCTGGGTTTGTTTTGCTACTGATGAAGATGATCGGACAGCAGAGTGGGTGAGACCTTGCAGGTGCAGGGGCTCCACGAAATGGGTTCATCAGACTTGTCTGCAGCGCTGGGTGGATGAAAAGCAAAGAGGAAACAGTACTGCTAGAGTTGCTTGTCCTCAGTGCAATGCAGAATATTTAATAGTATTTCCAAAGCTAGGTAAGATACATCATTTAAATTTTAAACACAATATAACGGATTGGTTTTTTTTATATTGTTTCCATTTCCTTTTCCATGCTTGGAGCATCAGTTCTGTTGAGAACTTGTCTATTCCCTTTTCCAGACGTTAAAAAATAGCTTTATATTCTGCTCGGATTTTATTTGGTGGCATAGTTAAATACCTTCTGATAATTTTGGATGTGTTCCACTTGGGTATATTGATAACTCTTATAAGTGATTAACCTGTAATTAATTCATGGTTAATGTGTTGTTTTGGTTTTTTTTTTCCAGTTGAGCAGAGGGTGACTTGTCTTGGCAATTGCCAGCTATCAGAACATAAACACATCCTTTATTTTTAACTCATCTTGCAGAGAAACTCATCAAAGGAAATTCAGAGAAAAGAACCTGAGTAACCTGTTGCGTTAGCTGAAAAATACATTTTTACTTTGTTTTGGAGCTATTCATGAATTAATATTGCCCTGTATTCAAAAGGCAGAATATCTGTGGCTGTAGGGCACTGCTGTAGTTCTAGTTGTCAAGGTGAAAGAAAAAAGTTGGAGATGGTCTTCCATAGTCTAGTCTAGAGTAGCTGAGTGGGACACTGCACAGTCTGTTGCACATATTTAAATTAGCAGTGGATGCTGTTATTCCATCCCTTATTTGCCTCTATGTTCTATGGGGTATATTAAGTAGGACAAGCAAATGAAATGTTGCCATGGAAACTTAAATTTTGTTTAAAGGTAAAACTGCTTGTTAAAAAAATGCTGATACAGCATGGGAGTACAGGAATTTGGAGCATCTTAAGATTTTTTTTTTTTAAGTATCTGATTTCTGTAATGAAACAGCTGAAAATAACATGCTGTCAGTTCTTTGGGACAGGACCTCTTTTCCATTAGTATAAGGGCTGACAAAATCAGGGTGTGAAGGGAATTTTATATAGGTGATGATGTATTTCCATGGTACTCCACTGAGTAGTGGGAAAGAAAATATGGACTAATGTATTGTTGATATTGGTAAAAAAACACAAACCAGCATGGAACTTACTACCAAGTTATTTATGTTATCAACCACAGTTCAGCTTTGCTATAAGGATAAAGTAGAAGGGAATCTTAATCTCCATTACAAGGAGGGCATCAAACTGTAACATTTAGCATTGGCTTTGCGAGAAGAAATTGGTTTGATATCTGGACACTTATAATGTGCCACAAAACTTAAAGCTTAAAATCATTACCTGTGTCTTGAATGATAAAATTGCAATGTGAGCTGCATTTGCATTTTATTTTGGCAATGGGGAAAAAGGGGAAGTAACTATAGTTTGGAGAAGATAACGCATATAAACAACAGGTACTTTCATTTGCTCCTGCAGTGTGTGGCACCTTTATTTGAAAGCTAAGATTCCTAAATTCCAACGTTCTTAGGTTCTGAAACTGGCCTAAAATTCTTGCATGAGATTGTTCAGCTCTTGCATGCAAGAATATTCTGATATATTTTCCCTCACATTACTATCTTTTTCTATTTTTAAGCATGAGAAGGGTATAAAAATTCAGAGTGAGTAAGAGTACACAAGAGCAGGGCAATGAATTTGGCTCCATCAAACACCAGTCATGAGCTTATAGTGCCTTAAACTAGTGAGACAGTCTTGCCCTTTTGTAGCTCTTGTTGTAGAACAGTTTTGGGTACTAGAAAAACTCAACTGTAAGTCAGTCAAGGGCACACCAAGCAGAGTGAGGACAGGAAGATGTTTTCAAGTAGTTTTGCCAGTAGCCCCATCATTGCTGCAGCAGCAGCTGTCTTTTGAAGACATTACTAGTCATACCATTCAAGAACTAAAATTACCTGAGCAGGGAAGAAATAGCAATTGTCATTTCCCTGAGGTATCACAGTTCAGAAACTGCTTTACATTAAAACTTCGCTAATGTACTGCTGGAAACTTTTTTTCTAAAACCAGACATCTGGGAAAGGGCATTCCCTACACAACTTTTTATTTAGTTATAGTTCTGAAGTAATATCAACTTGAGGAGATAATCAACAAATAGCTTTATAAGTAACAGAGGGGGTCTTTGAATATATTTGCCATCCAGAGCAGCCTCCCTAGTGATGTTTCTTCTTAAAATGATAACTCTACTTCAAATTTGACAGTGCATCTCAGTTTTAAATGATCACTAGTAACTATATTCTTACTAGTGTTTTTCTCTGAGGTTTTTTTTATTTTTACTAAATAGAAAAATATTATTACCACTTTGAAAGTAACTGAAATCTCTTTTAGGTTATTCCAGTTTAATGAATAGAAAATGGAGTTTAGCAGAAAAAGCTGTTAAAGCATGACAGCCTTTACAAAACGAAAACTATTTTGTTTCCCACTTTGTGTGTCAAACAGTTACATTTACTTCCTGAAGGTCTAATAAATAAAAAAAAACAAACCCAAACTGAAATTGTTTTTCTAGTCTTGTCTCGAGATTCTACACCTAATTCTGTAGCTTCCTTTTTGTAATGATTATTATTAGTAGATGCAATTTGCTAGTACATTGAGTGTTAGACTTCTGTTGTGGTATCACCTTGCCAAGATGTAGCAGGCAAGCTTCAGAGCTGTGTGTTGGCTTTAGGACTCACCAAATAGAACATTTTTTGAGTCTCTTGTCTTCACCTTCTTTGAACAAATGTAAGTTTTCAAAATGGTAGAACTGAACAACTTTTCCAGTGACTCTGGGGGAACAGTTAAGATATGTAAAGTACTGTGCATTTAGTACTTGCAGTTATGAATTTGTTGATATTTGCAGCACACTAATAAACATCCCAGCACTTTAAGTCTGTCCTGGAAAGTTAAACATAATACAGTTAAACTGCTTGTTCCAGTTTGTATTTGGAGTAGAGTGTTCCTTCTTCAGAAACCCTTTAATTCTGGTACCTAATCAATAATAGGATACTCAACTTGAGAATAAATTAACTCCATAGTTATGCTTTGTCAGTTACTTAGGCACTAGTATGTATCTGTTGGTGTATTTGAAGCAGGGTGCTGGTGAGGTGTTCACTCTCTTACAAGTTACATAGGAAGATATTTCCTGCTGTTAAAAGTAGAGCTCATTACTAAAACAGAGAATGCATGCTAGAAGATGCACACAAAGATGGCTAATTTGAAGTATGTGAGTAGTAGGTGAAGAACTAGATGCTCCAGCAGAGCTACTGTAGAGAGTACATTAAGCAATATTCTGCCCAAGTTGCTTAGGGCTGCCCACAAGTCTGATACATAACTTGGCAATATTTACAGTGACATCTGTTAAGGCTGCATATAAGCTAAGAGAGAATGCTAAGTGGAGAATTAATTACTTGACGAATGTGTGCAGAAATCATAGAATAGTTAGGGTTGGAAACGACCTTAAGATCATCCAGTTCCAACCCTGCTGCCATGGGCAGGGACACCTCACACTAGACCATGTCACCCAAGGTTCTGTCCAACCTGGCCTTGAACACTGCTAGGGATGGAGCATTCACAACGTCCTTGGGCAACCCATACTAGTGCCTCACCACCCTCACAGGAAAGAACTTCTTCCTTATATCTAACCTGAACTTCCCCTGTTTAAGTTTGAACATACTACTCCTAGTCCTATCACTACAGTCCCTAATGAAGAGTCCCTCTCCAGCATCCTTGTAGGCCCCCTTAACTTTAATATTTGCACTGATTTTGGTAGGAGAAAGTAGTAGGAAGCTAACAATAATATTCATGCATATGAGCTGCAGGAGGACAGTCTGTGTAGAATTTGTTGACAAATACAAAAGTAACCTTCAATCTGACCATGGTGATGACATTTTTCACTTCAGGACATGTATTTCGGACTTCAGCTTCTGGCTTTTGTTTTGCTGGTGCTCTTGCAGTATCACTAAGAAAAGATGCAAGCATGCCCTTGTTTACCTCATCAGAGCAGGGTGATGTCTTGCTCTGTGTAAGTCTGGAAAGTGCAGTTGTTCTTTGAACAATGAAACTATTAATGTATTGTTGCCAAAGGCACTAAATAGCCTGAGTAGGAGGGGGTTTTCCTCCAACATTAGAGAGGTAATTAATCTCTAATACTGAATGTATCTTTTTCCAGTGAGTGAAAAGAATTTTTCACACTGACTGTGCTACATTTTATTGTAGAGCAGGATAGTTTAGTGACAGAATCCTCAGGTGGAGCTATCAAAGGTAAGCACATAAAGTCCATTACAACTTTTCTTTTAAAAACTGATATATTTTAACAGATAAAAAAGTCACTAATCCTAAAATTCAGATCCAACGCAAATGAAGCTAGTCAACTTTAGTGGGTAAATTAGTCAGTGCTCTAACCAGTATATTAATCTCTCAGAAAGACATTGTCGTGAATGAAAAGGTAGATAGAAGTAAGCTACAAGCTTAGCTTGGGAGCTTTTTAATAGTATGTTCTCACTTAAATAGCATGTGTGGGATGACAGACATGTATTTTGCCAAGTTCTTTCCTTCTTATCAGTGATAGATGCTGACAGCTTTCTTCAGTATGCTTATATATATATATATATATATGTATCTTGAAACCTTACTTTTCCTTTATCATAGGTCCAGTTGTTTACGTTTTGGATCTTGCAGATCGACTGATCTCAAAGGCATGTCCATTTGCTGCAGCTGGAATAATGGTGGGCTCTATATACTGGACAGCTGTTACATATGGAGCTGTGACAGTGATGCAGGTACACATGTATTTCTTCCTCTTACCAGCTTTTGCAGCAAGTCTTTTAAAGAAAAAAAGTCAAGCAATTAAGACTCCTCTTTAGCTGGCTTAAAACATGCTTTTGCTGCTTTCAGCACTTCCAGGGTAGCTAACGAATGAATTCAAGATGGGTGGATAGAAAGGTTTTTCCTTTTAACTGATCATACTGCATAAACTCAAGTATGCTTGTTCAAACGTGATTCAGTCTGCAGCTAATAAAATTCCCTACTATGCTAGGTGGCTACCCTTTCTCTGGCAGGCTGGTGAACCCACTTCTGTTGTTACAGAAAAGGTACTACGACCACCTAACTACTAATAATAGATAGTCTAATTCTTCAGAAAAGACTTGAGACTTTTCTGAATCTCTTCTTTTACTTAGAGATAGATTTTGCTGGTAACATTCAGAGGGTTGAGGCACTGTGAATTTTTCAGTCCTACCACTTTTTATTGTATAAAGGAAAACGCATGCTCTGAATGGTGCAATTCATTCATAAACAAGTGCAGAACACTGCAAATTTATTGTATTTTTTTTTTAATTACTTCAGACTGTGTGGTTAATTGAAAGGGGGGAAAATACTTATTTTTCCTACTTCTGTTCTTGTAAGCTTGCTGTTTAAATACAGAAATACTGTTGACAGGTGGTAGACTTAACTGTGGAAAGAATTGTTCATTGCTGGGCAACTGAGACAAGAGTTTTCATAGAAAATTCAACTAGAAGAACCTCTGTTAATATTTGTTGTTGATTCCTGTATCAAGTCCATAACCTTTGTTTTGCTTGAAAGCATGAAGTATTTCTGATGCTAATTCAGTTCTAGACAGAATTAACAAATCTGTATGCTAGTAAGTATTCCTCCACAGTTGTTATATAAACATGCAGTCTAGTCCTTATCCATGTCAGGCATATGGCACTACTTTTTCTTCACTTGTGTGGTACTGCCTTCAGTTCTACAAGTCACACCAGCTCCTGTTCTAGTTCTGTTTGTACATGCGTGGAAATGTATGTGACAGCTGCTTGAAGTAAGGCGCACATGGGCAGATGCAGTCTCCCTGGTACCAGTATGGCCAGGGTGAAGTGGCTCCATAGGTGATGTGTAATGAGTTTCAATACCTCCTCCAGTCCAGTGGATAGTTCTGTTTATTACAGAATGTTACACTTGAGCATTTCTTTATCTGCTATTTTGTGTGGCCCTTACAGGAATGTTGCAACCTCGTGTAATACTATGACTAGACTTCATGAAATGTACCAGTCCTTAGCTCCTTGCTCACTGCTACACTGAGCCTTTTCCTGTAAGAACTTGTGTGCTTTTTAGCTTCTTTAGAACTACATAACCAAATGGAAAAATAAATGTTCCTTTCTGTAGTTGTTTCACTTTTGAAGTGAACCTATCTAAACATATAGTTTAGGCAGCTAGTCAAATCCTAGGTATGAAGAATTAGCTATTTTCCTCTCATTTAATGGGGGTTTTAATCATATGGATTGCATACTGGATAAGAGAATAATTATTTTTGCTTGTAATAGAGGTGATTAAACTGGGAGTGGATGGAAATGTTCCATTCCTTTTGCCACCCAGATTTGCTAGGTTTAATACAACTTGTTTCCTGTTGCATTTCAGACTCCTTCAGTTGAAAGGCCAGAGAAGCACAAAAGCTATTTTTAAAGGTTAAGCTTCAGATGGAGAAAAATAATACAGAATTGACATTGTGACTCTAGAGGTAGCTAAGTCAGTAACAAATCATGTAAGGTTACTGAAAACAGACAGAAACCATAATACAAAGCAGAAGACAAGATAGGCTTTTTTTAATGGACAGGGACTGTAAGGAAAAAAAGGATAGTATCAGACATCACAATTTGGGTGGAAGATAGTGAAGAAGCTGGAAGACAAATGCTGAATTATTTTTTTTTCAGGAATAATCTTTTGGTGACAACAATATTAGTTGTTTATTTTTTGAGGCTGTAGCATATAACATAACTTCCTGTTCTAGAAGAATAAAAGGGAATGGTTTTCAAAGCAAGGCTAAAAAGTACAATTTACTGTTGTGGTACATTAACACAGCTTCTTCCCTGTGTCCTACCTAGTCCAGAAGTACTGGGTTTTGTTGGTCTGTGTGTGTGTGTGTTGTGTTTTAATTTTGCTATGGCTGCATGTTCTTACCACTCAATTCTAAGGTTTGTGCAATTGAAAACTAGGTAGCTGTTGCATTTGTGGGGAAAACAAGAAGTCAGGGAAAACACATGAGAAAATCCAGTGCCTGACAAGCAAAATAACAGTGGTTTTAGTCTTCCTGGCTTGTTACGAACATCACAGACATTTTATAAACTGCAAAGTCTGATTGTTTTTTATGTGCCAGTAGAAAGATTTAGGCACATTAGTAATGACTGTCCTTTTACATCATAGCACTTGCCACATTTAAAAATAAGGTGCAATTGAAGAAATGCTATTTCCACTACAGTTGAAAATAATGCACCTCTTCCTGCATTGACTAGAGAAGCAATACTTCTTAATACTGTCATCTCTGTTGCATAAGGTATTCCTAAATAACAGAAAACTTTGATTAAAATATCCTGTGAGATACTTGCTATCAATTTATCCTTTAAAGAATAGTATCTAATCAGTTTCTGAATGTGGAATTAATGATGCTGAAGTTGTAAGTTCTATGCATTTTGAAAGCATGCTGTTTTGATGTTTCAGATGTTTAGGCTTTTACTTCCACAGAACCGTATGAAACTTTTCTTGAGATGGTAAGGAATTGTGTTACAGCTCTCTGCAGGATTTATGACTTGCAAAATAGGGCTGGTAGCTTGCCTGCATTACCCTTGATAAGCAATCAAGGATGCAAAGGGAAAACCAAGCATGTTAGGGTACAACAGTATTCTTTTTTCTCCTTTAATTTAAAATGTGTGGGCAGCCCCAGACAAACTAGACTTTTAAAAAGTTATATTCTGTGTTCAGTTGTGGCCTTTGCTATGTTTGCCAACTGTATACATATTTACCAGGTTGTGGGTCACAAAGAAGGTCTTGATGTCATGGAGAGAGCTGATCCTTTATTTCTTTTGATTGGACTTCCCACTATCCCAGTCATGCTAATACTGGGCAAGATGATTCGTTGGGAGGACTATGTGCTCAGACTGTGGCGCAAATACTCTAATAAGCTACAAATTTTGAACAGCATATTTCCAGGTAACGTGATAACATTTAAAAGGAGTTATCAAGCTTGAATTTGTGCCTGTAGGAGATGGGGATAGGCAAGTAGTTTTTGCCTTATTAAGTAAAGGTGGTTACTGTCTGTGTATTTTATGTTCCATCTATTTAGATTGTGTTTGTATAGTACGTGATAAGAACGGTGGGACAAGAGGAGCAGGAGCATGGTTTCAGTTAAGGCCTTGGTAACAGAACAATCATGGGTCTTATTTGCAAGTAAAAATGAATACAGTCATTTAATGGAAACAGAGTATTCACTGAGAAGGGAGTTCTCAAAAAAGTAGTTGGGTTATAGAATTGCAATGGAGTGGGGGTGGGCACTAATGACTGATGTGCTTTCTATGCTCCTTTTGAGCTAGTGGCTGTGTAACCTTTTCTTCCAACACTGTCCCTTCAGGCATTGGATGTCCTGTTCCTCGTATTC